TCCCCAGAGGGGGATCAGTGCTGACCCCCCCTCATTGCAGCGCTGGCCGAGATCCTGAGCGTGAAGGACATCAGCGGGAGGAAACTGTTCTACGTGCACTACATCGACTGTGAGTGACACTGGGGACACTGGGGACACTGGGGGGGACACAGGGACATGGGGATACAGGGGGACATGGAGGGGACATGGGGACACAAGGACACGTGGGGGCACATAGGGACATGAGGGGACATGGGGACGTGCAAGGACATGGGGCCGTATGGGGGTACACAGGGACACTGGGGGGACACGAGAATGGGGGGGACATGAGGACGTGGAGGGGACAAGGGAACATGGGGAGACATGGGGACACAGGGACACGGGTGGGACACAGGGACACGGGGTGGACATGGGGACACGTAGGGTCCTTGAGGGGCTGCGGGTGGCATTGGGGTGGCATTGTCACCGTGTGTGTGTCCCCAGGGCTGGAGCGGGGACACCGGGGATGCCACCACAGGTGCCACCAGCGGTGCCAACCCTGCCGACGCGTCCCCTGTCCCCAGTCTACAAGCGCCCGGGACGAGCGGGTGACGCACATTGTCACCCTGTGTGTGTCCCCAGGGCTGGGTGGGTGACACAGAGGAGTCACTGGGGGGCCGTGGGTGACACTGGGGTGACACTGGGGTGTCATTGTCACACGGTGTCCCCTCTGTCCCCAGTCAACAAGCGCCTGGACGAGTGGGTGACCCACGACCGGCTGGACCTGAAGCGGGTGCAGGTGCCGCGCAAGGAGGCCAAAACGCCCACCAAGAACGGCCTGCCCGGGTCACGGCCCGGGTCACCCGACAGGGACACGGTGAGGGACATGGGGACACCAGGGGGACATGGGGACACTGCCCGGGTCACGGCCCGGGTCACCCGACAGGGACACGGTGAGGGACATGGGGACACCAGGGGGACATGGGGACACTGCCCGGGTCACGGCCCGGGTCACCCGACAGGGACACGGTGAGGGACATGGGGACACCAGGGGGACATGGGGACACTGCCCGGGTCACGGCCCGGGTCACCCGACAGGGACACGGTGAGGGACATGGGGACACCAGGGGGACATGGGGACACTGCCCGGGTCATGGCCCGGGTCACCTGACAGGGACACGGTGAGGGACATGGGGACACCAGGGGGACATAGGGACACTGCCCGGGTCACGGCCCGGGTCACCTGACAGGGACACGGTGAGGGACATGGGGACACCAGGGGGACATGGGGACATGGGGACACTGCCCGGGTCATGGCCTGGCTCCCCTGACAGGGACACGGTGAGGGGACATGGGGACACCAGGGAAAAGGGGACTGGGGAAATGGGTGACAAAGAACACCAGGAGGAAAGGGGACATCGAGGGGACACCGGAGGGACAGAGGGCACTGGGGACAGCAGAATGGGGACAGGGGACATTGAGGGGACAGGAGAGCAGGTGGGACAGCAAAGGACAGAGTCTGGGGACACCAGGGGCAGGTGACAGTGCAGGGACAGCCTTGGGGACTGAGCAGGGCCAGCACTGAGGGGACACACGGGAGGGACACAGGGACAGGGGCCAGGATGGGGACAGGGACAAGGGACACTTGGAGCCGTTGGGGACAGACCTGGAGTCCCCAAACCCCCTTGGAGGGGGACACTCACCTGGGGACACCCCTTGGGGGGTGGTGACATCCCCAGGACCCCCCCAGGGGCCACCCTGGACCCTTGGGGACACTCCCAGCTCCTTTAGGGGACCCTGGGGACATTTTTGACCCTTTTAAGGGACCCTGGGACATTTCTGACCCTTTTAAGGGACCCTGGGGACATCCTCAACTCCTTGGGGACATCTCTGACCCCTTGGGGACATCCCCAACCCCTCTAAGAGGACCCTGGGGACATTTCCGACCCTTTTAAGGGACCCTGGGGACATCCCTGACCCCTTTAAGGGAACCCTGGGGACATTTCTGTTCCTTTTAAGGGACCTTGAGGACATTCCTGGTCCTTTGGGGACATCCCCGACCCCTTTAAGGGGACTCTGGGGACACTCCTGTCCCTTTGGGGACATCTGTGGCCCTTTTAAAGGACCCTGGGGACATCCTTGCCTCCTTGGGGACATCTGTGATCTCTTTAAGGGCACCTTGGGGACATCCCTGACCCCTTGAGGACGTTCCTGTCTCTTTGGGGACATCGTCAACCCCTCTAAGGGGACCTTGGGGACATCCCTGACCCCTCTCAGGTGACCCTGGGGACATCCCTGTCCCCTCAAGGCCACCTCACCCCCTTCAGGAGCCCTTGGGGCCACCAAGGGCCGTCCCCAGGGAGGGGACCCGGGGGGTTCCGGGAGGGCCCCGAGCCGCGGTGGCTTTGTCCCCTCGGTGTCCCCTCGGTGTCCCCTCGGTGTCCCCTCCTTGTCCCCTAAACCCTCCTCTTCCTCCCGGCGCAGAGGAAGAGCCTGGAGCTGGCGCTGCCGGTGGCCAGCGGGAAGAGTTTGCCAGGGCCACCACCGGGGCCACCACCGGGGCCACCACCGGGGCCACCACCGGGGCCACCAGGGCCACCGGCAGGGCCACCAGCGGGGCCACCAGCGGGGCCACCAGCAGGGCCACCACCCATCACGCTCCGCCTGCACCTGCCCAAGGAGAGCGAGGCCGAGCCCCCCCTGCGCCCCACGGTAACGCCCGGGGGCCCCACGTGGCCCCAATGTCCCCAAATGTCCCCAGATGGCCCCAGGGTCCCCAATGGCTCCAATGTCCCCAAGGTTCCCAATGGCTCCAGGGTCCCCAAATGGCCCCAGATGTCCCCAATGTCCCCAATGACTCAGGGTTCCCAATGGCCCCAATGTCCCCAGGGTCCCCAACGTCCCCAATGGCTCCAGGGTCCCTGATAGCCCCAATGTCCCCAATGGCTCCAATGGGTCCGGGGTCCCCAAATGTCCCCAAATGTCCCCAGCGTCCCCAGAGGCCTCCAATGACCCCAATGTCCCAAATGTCCCCAATGTCCCCAGTGGCCCCAATGTCCCCATTGTCTCCAGGATCCTCAAATGGCCCCAGATGTCCCCAGGGTTCCCCGCGGCTCCAGGGTTCCCATTGTCCCCAAATGTCCCCAATGGCCCCAATGTCCCAAATGTCCCCGATGTCCCCAGGATCCCAAAAGCAGCCCCAGAAATGGCCCCTGGCAGGTCCCAGTTTTGTCACCTGTGGTGTCCCCAATGTCCCCATCCCTGTCCCCAGGGTGTCCCCTGAGCCTCCCCTTCCTTGGGTGTACTGGGAACACTGGGAGGGACTGGGAGGGACTGAACTGGGATTGATTGGTCTGAACTGGTTTGCACTGGTCTGAACCGGTCTCTGCTGGTCCCAGAAGCGCAAGGTCGAGGTGGTGTCCCGGCCACGCCCGTCCCCGCCCCCACCGAGACCTCGCAGGCGTCCGTGTTCCCCCAGGTGAGCCCAGTGCGGACCAGTACGGACCAGTATGGACCAGTAACAGCCATCATGCACCAGTACGGACCAGTAACACCAGTAACATGCAACTAACACACCAGTATGGACCAGTAACACGAGTAACACACCAGTAACACCCATCACACACCAGGAACACCAGTAACCAACCAGTGACACACCAGTATGACCCAGTAACACCAGTCACACACCAGTAATAATCCATTGCTGACCAGCAGCTACCACCAGTAACACACCAGTACGGCCCAGTAACAGCAGTAACACCAGTATGGCCCAGTAACATGAGTCACTAACACACCAGTTACACACCAGTTACACACCAGTAACACACCAGTACAGCCCAGTAATGCACCAGTAACCAACCAGTAACACCCGTCACGCACCGGTAACACCAGCAAGTGACCAGTAATACACCAATAACACACCAGTAGCCAACCAGTAACACCAGTAACTTGTTCTGTGGTGATTTCGGGGGGATTTCGGGAAGTTCTGTGGTGATTTCAGGGGATTTGGGCAGTTTTAGGGTATTTTGGGGGGTGATTTTAGAGTGTTTTGGTTGTTGTGGGGTGATTTGGGGGTATTTTGGGGGTGATTTTGGGGCAGTTTAGGGGTATTTTGGGGGTGATTTTGGGGCAGTTTGGGGGTATTTTGGGGGTGATTTTGGGGGTGATTTTGGGGGGTGGTTTTGGGGGGTGGTTTGTGGTGATTTTGGGGGTGATTTTGGGGGTGTTTTTGGGGTATTTTGGGATATTTTGGGGGTGATTTAGGGGTTCCAGGTGCTGACCGCTCTCTCTCCCCCCAGAACGGCTCCGCTCGCCGGGCGGTGGCGGCTCAGCCCGGCCGGAAGAGGAAATCGGCGTGTCTGGGGACAGACGAGGTGGGGACACCTGGGGACACCTGGGGACATTGGGGACACACCTGGGGACACACCTGGAGGAGAGGCTGCCCCACCCTGACTCCATCCCTGATCCCACTGTCCCAGGCCATGTCCCCAAATCTGACACTTCTGCCCCCCCAGGACTGTCCCTAGCCGTGTCCCCGTTCCTGTCCCCATCCCTGACTCCTCTGTCCCAGGCCATGTCCCCATTCCTGTCCCCATTTCTGACCCCTTTTTCCCCATTTCTGTCCCCAGGACTCCCAGGACTCCTCGGACGGGGCCCCCTCGGCCCCGAGGATGACGGGCAGCCTGGTGTCCGACCGCAGCCACGACGACATCGTCACCAGGATGAAGAACATCGAGTGCATCGAGCTGGGCCGGCACCGCCTCAAGCCCTGGTACTTCTCCCCGTACCCGCAGGAGCTGACGGGGCTGCCGGTGCTGTACCTGTGCGAGTTCTGCCTCAAGTACGGCCACAGCCTGCGCTGCCTCCAGAGGCACCTGGTAAATGGGGCCAGGGGAGAATTTGGGGGGTTTTTGGGGGTTTTGGGGGAGTTTCGAGGGAATTTGAGGAGTTTCACAGGGATTTGAGGGGGTTTTAGGGAGGTTTGGGGGAGTTTCAGGGAGTTTGAGGGAGTTTTAGGGGGGTTTGAGGGAGATTTAGGGGATTTGGGGGAATTTCATGGAGGTTTAGGGGAGTTTTAGGGGAGTTTCAAGAAGATTTGGGGAGTTTCAGGGAGATTTGGGGAGTTTCAGGGAGGTTTGGGGGAGTTTTAGGGCAGTTCGGGGGCGTTTTAGGAGGATTTGGGGGCGTTTTAGGGTGATTTGGGGGAGTTTCAGGGGAATTTGGGGTGTTTTTCGGGGATTTAGACACCCCCTTACCCCCACTTCCCTCCCCCTAAACTCCCCTTTCTCTCCCCATTTCTTCTCCCCGATTTCCCTTTTTCCCTCCCCATTTTCACCCTCGATCTTCCCCTTCCATCCCCCACCCCCAAACCCCCCAAAAACCCCCAAAATCTCCCCAAAATCCCCCCCAGACCAAGTGCGACCTGCGGCACCCCCCTGGCAACGAGATTTACCGCAAGGGCACCATCTCCTTCTTCGAGATCGACGGCCGCAAGAACAAGGTCAGGGCGATTTGGGGGGCTCTGGGGAGGGTCCCGGGGGCTCCCCCCCACCCCAAACCCCGCTGAGACCCCCGGGACCCCTCCCCAGAGCTACTCCCAGAACCTCTGCCTGCTGGCCAAGTGTTTCCTGGACCACAAGACCCTTTACTACGACACCGACCCCTTCCTGTTCTACGTCATGACCGAGTACGACTGCAAGGGGTTCCACATCGTCGGCTACTTCTCCAAGGTGGGGGCCTGGGGGGAATTTGGGCGGTCTGGAGGGGATTTGAGGATCTGGAGGGGATTTGGGGGGATTTACGGGGTCTGGAGAGGATTTGAGGGAGATTTGGGGCATTTGGAAGGGATTTGGGGAGGTTTTGGCAGGTCTGGAGGAGATTTGGGGGGGAATTGAGGGATCTGGAGGGGATTTGAGGGGGATTGGGGGAGTTTTGGGGGTGTGGAGGGGATTTTGGGGGCATTTAGGAGGTCTGGAGGGGATCTGGGAGGGATTTGGGGGAGTTTTGCACGGTCTAGGGGGGATTTGGGGGGAATTTGGGATGTTTGAGGGAGTGGATGGGAGCACTGAGGGATGAAGGGTGGGGAAGGGGAGGAAAGGAGGGATTTGGGGAGGGTCTCAGAGGGTCCTGGAAGAGGAAAATGGGGATTTGGAGATTGCTGAGGGATTTTGGGGTGGTCCCAGGGGGTTTTGGGATCCTGGGATTATCCTGGGGTTTTTTGGGGTGGCCCCAGAGGTTTTTGGGGTCTGATCCTGGGGGATCTTCAGGTGCAATCACAGAGATTTTTGGGTGCAATCCCAGGGGATTTTGGGGTGGCTCCAGGGGATTTTGGGGTCCCATTCCTGGGGAGTTTTTGGGTTCCCATTCCTGGGAGGATTGTGGGGTGACTCCAGGGGATTTTGGGGTAATTCCAGAGATTTTTGGGGTCTCATTCGTGGGGTCTCCTGCAGGAGAAGGAGTCGACCGAGGATTACAACGTGGCGTGCATCCTGACCCTGCCCCCGTACCAGCGCCGCGGCTACGGCAAGCTGCTCATCGAGTTCAGTCAGTGCCCCCCAAATTCTACCCCAAACCCCACCCCAAACTCCTGGGAATCCCGAAATCCCACCCTAAACTCACCCGAAATCCTGGGAACGCCCGAATTCCATCCCAAACCCTGGGAAATCTCAAATCCCACCCCCCAAATCACCTGTCCCAGCCCTGTCCCCTCACCTGTCCCCTGTCCCTCACCTGTCCTCTCTGTCTCACCTGTCCTAGCCCTATCTCAGCCCTGTCCCTCTCGTCTCTTACCTGTCTTCCACCTGTCCCTCACCTGCCCCTCTTTTTCACCTGTCCCCTACCTGTCCCTCTCCTGTCCCACCTATTCCAGCCCTGTCCCCACCTGTCCCCTCTGTCTCCCTTGTCCCTCCCCTGTCTCACCTGTTCCCTACCTGTCCCTCCCCTGTCCTCACCTGTCCCCTGTCCCTCACCTGTCCCCTGTCCCTCACCTGTGCAGGTTACGAGCTGTCCAAGGTGGGGCAAGACGGGCACGCCTGAGAAGCCGCTCTCGGACCTGGGGCTGCTCTCGTACCGCAGTTATTGGTCCCAGACCATCCTCGAGATCCTCATGGGGCTCAAGGCCGAGGCGGGCGAGCGGCCCCAGATCACCATCAAGTGAGACACGCCCCCTTCCTGAGGCCACGCCCCCTTCCCGGGACACGCCCCCTTCCCACAGAGACACACCCCTTCCTGCAGACACGCCCCCTTTCGGAGGGCACATTCCCCTTATAAACCCACACTCAGAGGCTCAACCCCTTCGCTAAGCTCCGCCCACCACAGAGTAATATCCAATACAAGCAGTTCACCCAGGCCACGCCCCTTTACCTGAGGCTCCACCCCTTCCCAAAGCTCCACCGACCAGAGCAATGCCAAATATGGGCAGCTTACCTAGGCCACACCCCTTTCCCTGAGGCTCCACCCCCTCCCTAAGCCCCAAGCTCCACCCACACAGAGTAATACCCAATATGGGCAGCTCACCCAGGCCATGCCCGCTTGCAGAAGACACGCCCCTTTTTGGCCACAAGGATCCACCCCCTCCCCAAAGCCCCGCCCACCACAAGGGGCACGGTAGCTTCTCCAGGCCACACCCACCCTGCCAAAAGCCACACCCTGAGACTCCGCCCCACCTGTCAATCAATGCTGAGCCTCCTCTAGGCCACACCCCCAAACTTTAACCCCACGCCCACACATTTGAGGCTCCACCCCCTCATTTATCCAACCTGGGGGGGGTTGGGGGTGCCAGGTGGGTCTGGGGGGGTTTGGGGGGAATTTTGGGGGGGTGGTCAGGGAATTTTGGGGGGGGGTCAGGGAGTGGAGCCCCCCCTGATTGGCCCCTCCCCCTGCAGTGAGATCAGCGAGATCACGAGCATCAAGAAGGAGGACGTGATCTCCACGCTGCAGTACCTGAACCTCATCAACTACTACAAGGTGGGGCCCAAACACACCTGGGGGGACCCCAAAACACACCTGGGAGGGGCCATGAAATATCTCCCTGTGTCCCCCTTTGGACACCTGGCTGACACACCTGTGCACACCTGTACAGGGTCAGTGCACCCTGACACACCTGTACACACCTGTACACACCTGTCTCACTTGTCCATACAGGGTCAGTACATCCCGACACACCTGCACACAGGTGCACACACCTGTACACACCCGTCCCACAGAGTCAGTACATCCTGACACACCTGTGCACACCTGTCTCACTTGCAGGGTCAGTACATCCTGACACACCTGTGCACACCTGTCTCACCTGCAGGGTCAGTACATCCTGACGCTGTCCGAGGACATCGTCGAGGGCCACGAGCGCGCCATGCTCAAGCGTTTGCTGCGCATCGACGCCAAGTGCCTGCACTTCACCCCCAAGGACTGGAGCAAGCGCGGCAAGTGGTGAGGCCACGCCCACACAGGCAGGCCACACCCACCAGGGTCACACCCCTGCAGGCCGCACCCACCCGGGAACCGCCCAGGCCGACCACACCCTGGCAGGCCACGCCCGTGGGCCGTGCCCTGGACGCGTCCTGCAAATCCGCAGCCTGCCAGGCCAGGCCACGCCCCCCGGGCCACGCCCTGGCAGGTCACACCCACTGGGACCACGCCCCGGCAGGCCACACCCCACTGGGCCACACCCTGGACATGGCCTGTCAATCCGAAGCCTGTCAGGTCTGGCCACGCCCCCTTTGTTACCTGGAGTCGCTCATTAAACACCTGGCGCTGCAAATCCTTTATTGACCATAAAAGGAGTGGGTCTTGTCAGGCCACGCCCACTGTGGGAGTGGCATCAGGTGTGGGTGTGGCTTTGGAAGGCCACACCCGTTGTGGGTGTGGTATTGGGCGTGGCTTTGGGAGGCTCCACCCACAGTGGGAGTGGCATCGTTTGTGGGCGGAGCCTCCTGTGAATATATTTGGTATTTTAAATAAAGTAGGTGGAGCTTCACAGGCTCCACCCACACTGGGAGAGACTCCAGGCACTTTAAATCAAACAAGCCCCACCCACTGGGTGTGGTCAGTGATGTTAATGAGGTGGGTGTGGCTTTAATGCTCCATCCATTCTGGGCGTGGCTGCAGTTGGTCCATTGATGTCATAAGAGAGGTGTGGCTTGTGCAGGCTCCACCCCATCTGGGCGTGGCCTCTCATGGCTCCGCCTCCTCCTCGCTGTCCTCAGTCACGGGGGCGTGGAGCTGGGGGAGGGGCGGGGTCAGGGACCCCCAAATGGGACCCCAGACCCCAAATGTGACCCCAAAGCCCCAGATGGGACCCCAGACCCCCAAACAAGACCCCAAACCCCCCAAAGGTGACCCAGACCCCCAAAAGTGACCCCGGACCCCCCAAATTAGACCCCAAATCCCCCAATGAGACCCCAGACCCTCCAAAGTAGGAGCCCAGACTCCAAATGTGACCCCAGACCCAGAAACGCCCCCCAAGCCCCCCAAATGTGACCCCAGCCCCCCAAGATGTGACCCCAAACCCCCCCAAATATGACCCTGAACCCCCCAGATGTGACCCCCAGACCCCCAAATGTGACTCTGGACCCCCAGACTTGCCCCCAGACTCACGCTCCGGGCCAGGGGTCCCCACTGCAGGGCCCGGGCCAGGCCCCGCCCGGGGGGGGGCGCGGTGTCACCCCCCCAGTCCGTGATGGCCCCGAACGTCCCCGTCACCGTCACCGACCTGACCTGGGGGCAAAGGGCAAAGGGCAGGGGGGGCACGGGGCTGAGACCCCCCCCAGGAGAGGGGCTGAGACCCCCCCACAAGAGGGGCGAAAACTGGGGGGCTGAGACCCCCAGGAAGGGAGAAGGGAGGATGAGACCCCCCCCCAAAAGGGGAAACTGGGGGGCTGAGACCCCCCCAAGAGGGGCTGAGACCCCCATGGGAGGGGAAAATGGGGGCTGAGACCCCCAAGAGGGTTAAGACCCCCGGGAGGGGAAATTGGGGGGTGGTCTCTGCTCCACAGGGGGATCTGAGCCCTATGAGGGGTTTTGGGTGGGGGTCTCTGCCCCACAGAGGAATTTTCGGGGTCTCTTTCTCACCTGGGGGTCCCCCAGGGGGGTCTCTCCGTGCTCCCCCCCCCTCAGCACGGCCCCCGTGTATCCGGGGGGCAGCGGCAGCTCCCGACCCCCCAAACGGCGCCCCCGGAACGAGGCCCACAGATCTGGGGGGGGACAGAGAGTGAGGGACCCCCAAAATACCCCCAAAACCCACCCGGGACCCCCAAAACCACCCCGAAAACTCGCCCAGGACCCCCAAACCTAACCGGGACCCCCAAACTCACCCGGGACCCCCAAACTCGCCCTCACCTCATTTCTAGAGCCCCCCACGCCCCCAAACTCAATCCCACCCCCCCCAAATTCAGGTACCCCCTCAGGACCCCCAAATTTCCCACAGGATCTCTCCAAATCCGATCCCTCTCAGGATCCCCCAGTTTCAGGATCCCCCTCAAGGTCCCCCCAAATTCAGGATCCCCACAGGATCCCCTCAATCTGAGCCCCCTCAGGATTCCCCCCCCAAATTCAGGATCCCCCCAAATTCCGGAGCCCCCACAGGATCCCCCAATCTGAGCCCTCTCAGGATCGCCCCCATGTCTGAGGCCCCTAAGGATCCCCCAAATTCAGGAACCCTCCAAATTCAGGATCCTCCTTAGGATCCCCCGAATTCAGGAGCCCCTCAGGATCCCCCCTCAAATCTGAGCTCCCTCAGGATCCCCCCAAATTCAGGAGCCCCCTCAGGATCCCCCCAATCCGATCCCTCCCGTCCCTCACCGCCGTCGGGGCCGGGCCGGGCCCGCAGGAACGCGGCCACAGGCGCGGGCCCGTCGTGCTGGATGCGGCAGGGCAGGAGCTGAACCGGGAGCGGCTCCGGGGGAGCCCCGGGAGGGACCCGGACCCGAACCGGAGCCGCCATTTTAGATTGGGGGGGGGGAAAATGTGAGGGAGGAAGTGACGTCACAGCGCGCCGGAAGCGGCGGGAGGCGCCATTTTGGAGGGAACAAAGATGGCGGCGCCCATAGGGGAGGAAAGATGGCGGAAGTGGGAGGTGCAAGGAATGATGGGAGATGTGGTTTGGGGTCTGAGGGGGTTTCTAAGCCCCCTCTTCGTGTACTGGGACCCGCCCCCAGCCCTATGAGAACCCCCAGACCCACAGAGAGCCTCCCTCACAGAGCCAGACACGAATTTTGCACTTTTCAAGTTTTTTTAAGGTGGGGGTCACATAACGGGGATTGGGGGCGCCATGTCCCGACACGCCCCCCCCCCCACCCCACTATGTCGCGACATCTCAGGCCCCGCCCTCGCCCCGCAGCAGCCGCGCCAGCAGCAGGACCCCCCCCCAGCGCTGCCCCCGCACCCGCCCCTCCCCCCCCGGCCCCCCCCGCGCCAGGACCACCCCCCTGGGGGGGACAGCGGCCGCCAGCGCCCATCCCCCACCCCCCTCCGCCCCTCCCCCTTCCGAGGGTACTAACAGGGGGGCGAGCACGCGGGGAGGTTCGGCCGAGCCCCCCCCCAGCACCAGGAGGGTCTCGGGGCCCCCCCCCAGCGCCCCCCAAAGGGCCTCGAAGGCGCTGCGGGCCCGGAGGGGGTCCCAGGGCGGGGGGAACCCGAGGGGGCGGAGCCGAACCCCCAAGGGCAGCTCCAGCGGGGGGAGGGGCGCCAGGAACGAGACCCCGCCCCCTTTTGGGGGGTCTCCTCCCCCCCTCCCCGGACTGAAAATGGCGGTGGCCTCGAGGGTGGGGGGCAGGGCCCGGGGGGGGGCGCAGGGTCAGGGTCAGCTCCGCCCCTCCCCCACCCCCTCCGCGACCCCCCCCCAGCGCCGCCAGAGCCCCCTCGGCCCAGGCCCCGCCCCCCCCCAGCAGCACCTGCAGCGCCAGCACGGGGGGGGGCGGGGCCGCCATTTGGGGAGGGGTCCCGGGATCCCCAATATGGGGGGGGGTCCCGGAGCCCCCATTTCGGGTCGGGGTCCCCTCGCTTTGGGGGCCCCCCAGAGGCTCCAGGCGCACGCGCAGTGGGAGGGGCACGGGCCGCCCCCCCCCCTCCAGCAGCGCCCCCCCCCAACCCTCGGGGTCCTCCTGGGGGGCTCCGGGGGGGGCCCCGAACGGGGGGAGGGGCCCGGGGAGGCAGCGCAGGCGCAGGGGGGGGGGCGCGGGCAGCAGCGAGGGGGGGGCGCCCCCTCCCCCCCCAGAGCCCCCCCCGGAGCCGTTTTGGGGAGGGGGCGCGGGGGGCGCAGCGCGGGGGGGACCCCAGAACCGCGGCCAATTTGGGGGGACCCAGCGCGGCCGCCAGCGCCCCCTGCAGGCGGCAGCGATCCCACAGGTCGGGGTCGCCCCCTCCCCAAATTGAGGGGGGGTCTCGGGGCGGGGGGGGGCACAGCGGGACCCCCCCGCGGGGCAGGAGGGGGGCGGCGGCGCTCAGGACCCCCTGAGCCCCCCCCCAGCCGCGCCCCCCGGCCGCCAGCGCCCTCCGCAGGTACCCCCGGAGCTGCGGCAGAATTTGGGGAGGGGTCGCGGGGGGGTCCCGCAGCACCCGGAGCACCGCGCGGAGCTGGGGGGAGCCGGGGGGGGGCGGGGGCGCCCGCAGCACCTGCGCCATCAGCGCCCCCCCCAGGGACCCCCCCAAAACCTTGGCCAGCTCCAGCAGGTGCGGGGGGGGCCGCGGGGTGACCCCCCCCCAATAACCGCTGAGCCGCGACCCCCAAAGCCCCGCCCGGGACCCCCCCGAAACGGCGGCAGTAGGAGAGAACGGCCCGGCAGAACAAATCGGGGGGACCCCCCCCCAAAAACTCCACCTGCCCCCAGAGCCACTCGCGGCCCCCCGGGAGGATTATTTGGGGGGTGGTCGGGGGTCTCACAGCCCCCCCCGGGATCATTTGGGGGGGGTCGCAAAGCGCCGCGGCCGCCTCGAAGCGGGGCAGGAAGAGCTCGGGGGGGTCCCCGGTGCCGCCGCCCCCCCCCGGGAACAGCGCGGCCGCCACGTGGGGGGGCAGCTCCGCGAGGGGGGGGGGGCGGGGCGGGTTTTGGGGGTCCCCCCCCTGGCGCCCCCCGCCCTGGAGGAGGCAGAGGAGGAAGAAGAGGCGCAGGGGGGGGGGCAGCGCGGGGTGCAGCGCCAGCGCCGCCAACCGCGGGGCCCCCCCCGCGCCGAGACCCCCCCCCAGCAGCGCCGCCTGCACCGGGGCCGGGTCCGCGCACGCCAAAACCGGGGGGGCTCCCGGGACCCCCCCCCCCGGCACCGGAACGGGGGAGATGAAGGAGCTGGGCCCGGGCGGGGGGGGCGAGGCCGAAGGCAAAGCCTGGGGGGGGGAAAAGGGGAGGGGGCGTCAGAAATGGGGGGGTGGGACTGAAATGGGGGGGATCATAAAAGGGGGGAATCTTGGGGGGGTCTGGGAATTGGGGGTCCTGGATTGGGGGGGCGGTCCCTGGGTTTGGGGGGTTCTGGGGTGGGTTTGAGATTTGGGGAGGGGTCCCTGGGATTTGGAGTCCTGGGGTTCCCTGGGGTTATGGGGGACCCCGGGACTTGGGGGTCCTGGGGGGTCCCTGGGATTTTGGGGAGAGTCCCTGGGATTGGGGGGCCTCTGGGGGTCTGGGAATTTTGAGGTGGGGTCTCTGGGATTTTTTGGGGGGGGGTCCCAGGGATTTTGGGGGTCTCTGCACTCACCCGGATCCAGCCCCGCCTCTCCCCAGGGATCCGCCGGGTCTGGGGGGGGAAGAGGGATCAGGGGTCGGGGGGAGTGGGGGATCCCCCAACCCCCGGATCTCCCAACCTCCCCCCCGAGGATGCTCCCAGTACTGGACTGGAGTGTACTGGGATGTTACTGGGATTTACTGGGATCTAGCACAGTTCCCTGTGGGATTCTCCAGAATCCACTGGGACCTTCCCTGTCCTTACTGGGACCCACTGGGATCCCTTCAGACCTTACTGGGACTGACTGGTCCCCCTCCCTGTCCTTACTGAGACCCCCTAGGACCCTCCCAGTCCTTACTGGGACCCGTCCCAGTCCATACTGGGACTGACTGGGACCCTCGAGTCCATACTGGGACCGACCAGAACCTTCCCAATCCTTACTGGGACACACTGGGACCCCTTCAGACCTTACTGGGAGCCTCTGGGAGCCTCCTAACTCTTATGGGACTGACTGGGACCCCCCGAAACCTTACTGGGGCACTCTCGGTCCTTACTGGGACCCTCTTAATTCTTACTGGGATCCCCAGAACCTTTACTGGGACCGACCAGGATCCTCATAGCCCTTACTGGGACCCACTGGGACCCTCCGAGTCCTTACTGGGACCCCTTCAGACTTTACTGGGACACACTGGGATTCTCCCAACTCTTACTGGGACCGACCAGGACCCTCCCAGTCCATACTGGGACCCTCCCAACTCTTACTGGGACACACTGGGACCCTCCAGTCCTTACTGGGACTGACTGGGACCCCCCCCAACTCTTTCTGGGACTGACTGGGACCCTCCAGTCCTTACTGGGATGCCCAAAACTTTACTGCGTCTTTCCCAGTCCTTACTGGGACACACTGGGACCCTCTCAGTCTTATGGGACCTTCCCAGTCCTTACTGGGAAAACCTCAGTCCTTACTGGGACCCCTTCAGACTTTACTAGGAGCCTCTGAGACTCTCCCAGTCTTTGCTGGGACACACTGGGAACCCCCCAGTCCTTACTGGGAGCCTCTGGGACTCCCCAGTCCTTACTGGGACTGACCAGGATCCTCATAACCCTTACTGGGACCCACTGGGACACTCCAACCCTTACTGGGACCCTCCCAACTCTTACTGGGATCGACCAGGATCCTCATAATTCTTACTGGGACCCACTGGGACCCTCCCAGTCCATACTGGGACCCCCTCCCACTCACCTGCCGCCCCCTCCGCCCTCAGCAGCAGCAGCGGCTGCAGCGCGGGGCAGCCCCGCCCGGTGGTCCCGGGGGTCCCGGTGGTCCCGGGGGTCCCGGTGCCGGTGGGGCTCCCGGTGATCCCGGGGATCTCGATGGTCCCGGTTGTCCCGAGGGTCCCGATGTTCCCGGTGATCCCGGCGATCCCGGTGGCGGCCGCGATCCGCCGCAGCTCCCGCTCGCACTCCGCGGCCGCCGCCGGGGCTCCCGCCGCCGTTCCCGGCCGCCGCAGCAGCGCCGCCAGCGCCGCCAGCCCCGCGCGGTCCCCGCGGGCCGCGAGCACCGAGAGCGCGGCCACGAGCAGCAGGGCCCGGGGCGGGCCCGGGGCGGGCTCCGAGAGCAGCGCCAGCAGAGCGGCACCGGGATCGGAGCCATCGGCACCGGGATCGGCCCCAGCCGGGCAGCGCTCAGGGAGCGGCGGGGAATCGAGCAGCAGCAGCAGCAGCTCCGTCTGCAAGCGGGGAGGGGGTCAGGGGGAGAGACCCCCGGAGGGACCCCCAACATGAGGGGGGTTTGGGGGACCCCGAATGGGCCCAGCAGGGACCAAAAATTCTCCTTAAGGGATCCCAAATCATCCCCAGGTGACCCCAAGTCACACCTGAATATCCCAAAATCCCCTTTAAGGGAACCCAAACCCACTCCAGGTGACCCCAAGTCACACCCAGGGACTCCTAAATCCCATCAAGGGACCCCAAATTCTCTTGAAGAAACACCAAATTCCCCTCAAGGGACCCCAAGTCACACCCGGGGACCCCAAATTCTCCTCAAGGGACCAAAAATTGCCCTTAAGAAACCCCAAATCACCCCCAGGGACCCCAAATAGCACCCAAAGATCCCAAATTCTCCTCAAGGGATCCCAAACTCCCCTCAGGTGACCCCAACCCCCCCAGCCCCGGCCCCGCCCCTCTCTGCCGTCGCACACCTGATGACGTGCGGAGGGGCGGGGCCGGCGCAGGGCGGGGGGCGCGGGGGGCGCGAGCGCGGCCGCGAGCCGGGCCCAGGGACCCCCCCCCGCCA